CTATACAGAGTAGCCTGGAGCAGCATTGCCCAAACTTGCCAGTTTCGTAAGAATCATCATCATGTGAGGCTCACGTGAATCTAGGGGAGGAACTCCAGATACAACTTAAATGACTGAGATTATTCTTATGTTGAGAAAATTTTGGAAAAGCCAATGGTTCTCTACTTTAAAAAATATAAATATAGTTAAGCAAATTACAGCCTTCCTAAAGAAATACAGTATTAGCCATAATTTTCAATCAAGGACCATGACATCTTGGAAGGGGCTATCAGAATTTCAAGGCTGTCTAGGGTTGGGCAGGATAGAGGGAACTTAGGTAGCTTTAAACAGCTTCCCCAGAGAGACTAAGGATCCTTCTCACTCCCAACCTCCCTTCTTCTTTGATAGTCACTGGTCTCATGTGGAATTTAGTCTAGAGAAATGAAATTCACTAGTGAGCTTAAGAGTTATACCCTGATAAAGTGTTCTGTGACTGTAATACTTGTGAGTTGGTCTCTAGGCCAGTCACCTTGCCATTCTAGCGCAGTTGAATGTTATGCCTACCAAACAAACTAGAGGCCAGAGTTCACAGACTGGTGTCCACACCAGGAAAGTGACTCCCCGTAGGACATATCTGTTCAGTCTGCTAGTGTCCCAGGCTGTACTCACTTTCTTCATTGGCTTCCTCTCTAATTGTTTCCTCTGGTTCATTCCAATTCCAATGTGCACACACACACACACACATCCTCCATCACACAATGAATTAGGGCACTGTAGGTGATTATATCACCTTACTCAAACTGGCCCTTCTTAAAAGGATGGGGCTTGAATTGAAAATTAAAACAGACTATTTTTTTCTAATTTAAAATGTGAAGAAGGATGATATTGTAGCAGACATGCTCCCTTTAGGCAGCCCTGACTTTTTAGCCATTAGTTCAAACTAAAACATCTAACAAGAAAGGTACAAAGTCTGCCTGGTGACCCACGCTGTTTCTATTAATGAAATGAAGGTAATAAGTGTACAGTGTTGTGCTTTCTGTATGAAAGTATCCAGTCAACAGCATCAAACATGTATAATATTACAGCAATCATCTCTACAGCTTCCTGGTAGTTAAATATAGTCAGGGATGAAGAGACATGGGAGAAAAGTAATAACAGACAAAAACTTTGACTTCTCAGGTTTCTTTAACCC